AAGGAGAGATTCCCAGGTGTATGTTGGCAAGGTTGTAAGCAGGTGTGTGGGAAGGTAATTTACCTAAACTTGACAGCACAACTGTCACTTCTCTACAGTACTGGTTTTGACTCCCAAGAGAAGAGCCTGCCTAACTAATCAAATCTCTAATGTAGCAACTCATTTTCTGCTAAATACTCCAAGTCAGCAGTGGGTAAGGGATTTGTTCCAAGTCCTGTTAAGCCATTGCATACACTGAAGGGATGGAGACCATGTCTGATGAGTAGAGCCTTGGAGAAGTGTTGGACATTCAAATGCTTCTTACCCTATGCCCTGTATCATAAATATAAAGGGAAGGGTAAACACTTTTAAAATCCCTCCTGGCCAGAGGAAAAACCCTTTCACCTGTAAAGGGTTAAGAAGCTAGGATAACCTCGCTGGCACCTGACCAAAATGACCAATGAGGAGACAAGATACTTTCAAAGCTGGGGGGGGGGGAGGGGGAGAAACAAAGGCTCTCTCTGTCTGTGTGATGCTTTTGCCAGGAACAGAACAGGAATGGAGTCTTAGAACTTAGTAAGTAATCTAACTAGATATGCGTTAGATTCTGTTTTGTTTAAATGGCTGAGGAAATAAGCTGTGCTGAATGGAATGTATATTCCTGTTTTTGTGTCTTTTTCTAATTTAAGGTTTTGCCTAGAAGGATTCTCCATGTTTTGAATCTGATTACCATGTAAGGTATTTACTGTCCTGATTTTACAGAGATGATTCTTTTACCTTTTCTTTAAATAAAATTCTTCTTTTAAGAACCGGATAGATTTTTCATTCTTCTTAAGATCCAAGGGTTTGGGTCTGTATTCACTTGTACCAATTGGTGAGGATTTTTATCAAGCCTTCCCCAGGAAAGGGGGTGTAGGGTTTGGGGAGGATTTTGGGGGGAAAAGACATTTCCAAGTGGGCTCTTTCCCTGTTATATATCTGTTAGATGCTTGGTGGTGGCAGCAAAAAAGACCAAGGACAAAAGGTAAAATAGTCTGTACCTTGGGGAAGTTTCAACCTAAGCTGGAAAAAATAAGCTTAGGGTTTTTTTCATGCAGGTCCCCACATCTGTACCCTAGAGTTCAGAGCGGGGAAGGAACATTGACACCCTGCATCATGCATCCATGTAAAATTATGTAAGTCGACTAAAGTTCTTCTTGCCACCTCCTCCCCCGCCCCCACCCAACCTTGCATGGTTCTGTCTTCCTGTACATTTGGTTTAGCTTTTCAACATATTACAATCTTAAGAAAAACAAAAAACCACACACAAAACCATAGATACCTCACTGTTATCTGCACAAACTAGTCCTACATGCCCATAGCTGCAAGAAACTGGTGTTCCACCAGAGCTGATCTCTGCTCACATTCTAGCTTGAAATACTGTTCTCAATTGAAAATGATTGAGGCTCAAGTGTTCATTTAAGGTAACACACGATTAACCTGTGGAGTTGTATATAATAGATTTTCTGCCCAGTCACTTCATCTAATTTTAACTTCAGTGAAGACTTTTTTTAATTTCAAGCACAAATTAAAAAAAAACCAAAACCTGTGACTTAAAAGTCTGACAGATCCAAAAAGATAATGACAATTCATTTCAAGAGGTCACCCTGAATGCTTTTTCATATGCTATAATATAAGTAGAGAAGACAGGAAATCTCTGACTTTGTGGAGTCACCTGTATAGTGAAGCTACATTATCCATTTTGGAAAAATACTTACAGGTGTCTTTTAAATTGTACAGCAACATTTATTAGCATTAGCGTAGCACAGTCAGAATCTATTTCTTCCATAGGTGTGTGCCACCCTCTCCATGAAAATGCAGAGATGTTATACAATCTCATGTGGAAAACTATGTTTTATTGATAGGAGAAATGCATTAAGTGGAGAAAATATGGTAGTCCTGCTTTTGTGAGCATACTAACCAGCTCTGCATATGATTTACAATGACAATTAAGTCAGTTTAACTTATTTTCAATTGGCTAGTAACATCAGGATCTCAGTGGTGGAGCAGAGCATTTTCCTTAGCTCAGGCAGTTCAGTGCCATAACAGTAAATTACTGCGTATTTGTCTTTCAAAAACAAGAGAGCCATAAAAATCCCTGCATATTGGACTGAATATTTTAATGATTGCCTTGTAACAGATTATATAAACCCTCAGTACTTCATTCTGGTGCTACATTCAATGGGAAGTTCCTAACTGGCTTACTGGAAAATTAACTCCAACCTCAAATTTAAGATGCACCAGAAAACAAATTTTCCAAGTTTCCTTCATTTTAAACATGGTTCATTTTCAGGTCAGACAGCTGATCCGAAACAGGAACAAAAAAACTAAAGTAAGCAACATAATTGAAATACCATGTGTAGGAATCAGATAATTCCAAACTGTACACCTGTCCTCAGATAATACCAAATTCGGGAGCTTAGTGAAAAGTTCTCAACTAACTTTCTGATGGCTATATTGGAGTAACACTGTTATGTGTTAGGTTACACATCTCTGAGGCTGCCCTTCATTTAAGAGAGCCGTAAGAAGCCATTAAGCTCTTTTATGTAACCAGGTAGCTGAAACAATAGTGGCCTCCACCCCAAACACTGGCATATGTCACTGTCGAAGGCAAGGAGTATGTCTGCACTGCAGTGGGATGGTGTGATTCCCAGTGTGGGTATACCAGCACATGGTAGCTCTGCTTGAGCTAGTGCCTAAAAATGGCAGTGTGGCCCTGGTGGTAGAAGTGGCAGCTCGGGCTAGCTGCCCGAGTACAGTGCCTCCCAACATCCTGGGTATACACTTGGAGAGGAGCCAGACTGCAACAACCACACTGATATTTTTAGCATGCTAGCTTAAGCAGAAATACTAAACGTATGTCTACCTGTGTTGGGAATCACACGTCCTAGCTGCAGTGTAGACATACCTGAACGCACATGCAAAGCACATGTGGGTGGAGGGGATACACTGGCTATTATTTTGTGAACGTTTCTGTGACTGTGGAAGAGGCAGAAAGACTAGAGGAGATGAGAAAGAAGGCAGCAAGGAAGCACCAGATACAACCCGAACAAGCTCTTTGAATGTGGCTGTGAGAGAAGTGAGGAGATAACATTTTGGGGACAAAATGCTGGCTGAAAGGAATTTAGGAGCTATGAGCAAAGAAACGGTCTCCTGTTTGATTCCTCCTGAATTCAAGGAAATGGGACTTTGTACGTTCACTGTAAATAAACAGGAATGCATCAAAAAGACACCTGACTCCTCCACAGGCCCCCCAACGTTAGCAACCGCTTGGATCAAAAAGGGTTAATAGATTTATATAAACACCTTAATCATAACCAAGATCCTTTGTACTAGAAAAAGGAAGCTGAATGAGCCATGAACAAAAATAGTGAAACAATGAATAAAAGCAGTGTTAAAGAGAAAGTCTTCTATTTAGTTTTAAAAGCATGTACTCCTTTGATAAAGCCATGAAGGCTGAAAAAGAACATCTAACATATGGAACTAGGATTTAAGGCTAGTGGGGACTGTTAGGGGGCACTTGTTTAGAGAATCTTCTTACCATTTCTTCAGTTTGAGAAAGAACACATTTCTCAGTCACTGAAGGCCAGATCCAAATCCCACTGAAATAGACTGCCATTGACCTCAGTGAGCTTAACACACAATGTGATTTAAATGAAAAAGTAACAAAGCCTAGAGCCCAGTAAAAAGTCTTCTAGGTGGTTAGAACTGTTATCTTATATTTAGGCCCTGATCTTTCAATTGCATTTGCCCAGATGCCACTACCTTGTCTTCAGTCTCTATTTTTAATCTTATGCATTCTTTGTCATTTTTATTTTGACTGTCAGCAAAAGGAAGATACTTTGAAAATAGAAGTGCTACTACATTGTGTATAACAAAAGCTTACCCGTTCAAATCTTCACATGCTTCATTTTTACTAATGCACTTGTAACAAATCTGACATTTTGTCCTAAGTAAAATGATATTTGAAATCTTGGAAGAAAAAAAAATCCCCTGACAAACAATCTCTTTCTTTACAAATTTCTCCAAGCTTGTGACTTAAGCCAAGGGCAAGGGAGAGATTAATTTAACCCTTAAGCAATCTACCAGGAAGAAAAGAGATTTTAAATGTGCTATTTTGGGTCTGGGTTCAGAAAAGTCTTACTGACTGGTTCCCCCACACACACTATCATAATCTGCATAGGGAAATATATAAATATTGGCAGCTCTCAGGCTTGTTTTTCCATTAGAATCCTAGCAAATAAATGGTAGTGAATTTTCAAGCTTCGTGTGTCAGGATTTTAAGTGCACAGGAATGGCATAGTTCAGGTATGGTCACTCTGCCTGGCCACAGGTAAGGATCAAAGCTGTTCAGGCACTTTATTTGTTGTAGTATTCTAATAGAGAGATTTATTAGTCACAGAATTGTTATTTTATTGTTGGTTTTAATACTATGATAGAATATTAGAACCACTGAAGTCGTTGGAAAGACTCCCTTTGACTTCAGTGGACTCTTGATTGGGACCTTAATGACACTAATATAAACTCTCTTGCTAAGGTTAACACAATTCAATTTTTCCAGGATGACTGACAAATTTAAGCAGCCAGCTTGTTATACCCAATCTGAAGTTATTTTATTTTAGAAAGAGTTTTTGTTAAAAAAAGCTTGTGCTTATTCTGTAATATCACTTACACAATATATACATTACAATGAACATCGGACTTCAGCAGACTGATCGCAAAACGTTTATATTGTATTTAATCTGCACTCATGGATGGGAGATCTTGATTACCTTAAAACAACAACAAGAAGCCTTAGTCCTCTAGTTTGTGCCAATATTGCTGATTATTTCCCACCTTTGGTTCATCTGTTGCCTATGTGGATGTTCAAATAAGCACAGGCTTTTCCAAACTTGTAGCATTTCAAATAAATTGAGATTTTTTTCAAAGTTCATTTGAGAGGGACCTTGGAACAAGCAGTTCTCCATGGCATTTCAGCTTACCTTCTCATAGCATCCATATGCCTCATCTTTGTCTGTAGCATCCTTCTGGTTTGTCCTTAAAATGTGGAGCTCCTTCCAGCTTATCTGCCATCTGTTCGAGGATTACAATATTATTATAATTGCTACATCCAGGCAAGTAACATCTCAGACCTGTCTTTCCCCAAGTGTTAAGCCACCCCTAGGTTACTCTTTGTTGTAGCAAACAATTGGACAATACAAAGCAAAATGAATTCTCAAGAAAATGACAAAGGAGCTTTCACAAGTTATAGGCAAAGAAATTCATTCTAGCCAAACCTCTGTCTCTGAAACTCACAAAAATAGTGGACATTTCATGTGACAATATGTATCTTGGTCTCAGCTACAGAAAAGCCAGAACAGACCTCAGGCAGTTTTTCGATACTTCTAAACCATGCTCTATATGAAGTAAACAGGAGGGGATCTGAATAAGGGAGAGTGTTCAGCAAAGTTCTTATACATCAAAAAAGGCCTAATCACTTTGGGGTTTGGCTGATGTTTCAAGTTGATTTTAGCCAAAGAGGCACCTCCATTCCTTATTGCATTCAGAGAACTGAACAAATAGCAATTAAAAAGAAAATAATTTGAGAGAGAGCGTTGTCTGATTAACTGAGTATGGGACCAGCAGCTAAACATTTTAGTTTTCATCTTGGATTTGCATTAGGGCCTCAGACAAGTCAGTTAACTATCTTGGCTCTGTTTCCTTACCTGTAAAATGGGGATAATACTTACATGCGTCAAAGGTTAGGGGAAGGGAAATTGTTGGGAAGGGAAATTGTTGAGAAGTATAACTCACCCCACTTCTACTGAAAGAGCTCACCCTCCTCTTTCCATTTACTTTAACCCCTGCCTGCCTCACAGTATGGCTGTGTGATTAGTTAGTGTTTTGTACAGCACTTTGGATATTGAAGTCACTGCCTACGATAATTGTTCTCTCTCATTAGAAAATTATCATAGCACTGTTAGTTTCCAAAAAAGTAAATTGCCACTATTGTGATAAAGCAGCAGAGTGATGGGATAAATGCTTCCATTTTAAATCTCTCTCTAGACAGCCTAATGTCCTACAGACCAATGCCAGATGTGTAATTTCAACAGAGCATGCCTTTACATGCCTCTTCCAACCCAGCAAAGTTAGGGAGACAAGAATGAGAAGCCTGGCCACTAACAACAGCACCTTCAAATCTAAATGCAAAAGCAAATTGGACTTTGCATTCCCACAAAAACCCCTTTATACCCACCACTACCACACATCAAAAAGATTATTTAGTCTACTGTATTCAAGTTTTATTTGAATAGGCCATGTTACTTGTTTAATACTTACCAGGCATTCTGATGCTAATGGGAGGAGGGTATATTAGTACCTGTGAATTAGATTAGAGACAGATCAGCTCCAGACAGACTCTGCTCACTGCAGAACAGCTGAAAAGAAAAACATTCTTTAAGATTGTTATGGGAGGCCTTGAACAAAAAAAGGGCTACAGAATTGGCTTCAGAAACAGGTACTGTATAGTTTGTTGTTTTTTCTATTGCAGTAATTTGGGTCAGGAGTTCCTGCATTCCAGGCCTGAACTTCACCCATCGGATAGGGGCTTCTAGCTATGAGCTCACAGACGTATTGGTATATTTTAATATTCTGCTTTGTATATTCTTCTTCTTTGTAGCTATTATGTCTTAGTTTTAGAAAATGCCACAGTAACTCATACTGCCATACAGTTACTTGACATACTTAACTCAGTGGAAATACATGATTCACTTGTACACACTGGCGATACAATTTTAGTGTTCCTTAATGTACTGCATGGCAGAATCTCAGTCTGATCGTGCTATCATAAACACTAACTTAAGTGTAAGTGTTAATAGAAAGATGAGCTCAAAAGCCTTGGAAAACAATATCTTATTTTTGTCTGATCACTAAAAAAGTGTCTTTAAAAATTCATCTCATACTGCCAAGATGAAAAGAACATGCCTTCAGTGATATTTAATTGCTGCTCCGTGGATAATTATTTGTTCAGAGTAAGCCAAACTTAGTTCATAATCTTTTGCTGCCATCTGTTGGTAAATAGAGGGTAATGGCAGGGTCTTTGTTTTGTGTGCTAGGCTTGAGGGGAACACAAAGGTGATTTCAATATCCCATACCTCACTTGCAAGGGATTGAATAAACTAACAATCATGATTCCTGAGCTCCGTGCCAACCCTAGATGTACAGGCCCTAGGACCAAAGCTTAAAACAGATTGGACTACACAGTTGCAGATAAGAAAAAAAAAATTCTAAGATGCCTCTAAAGAGAAGTCAGTTGCTAACAGAGGGAGTGATGCAAGTGAATCTAAAGTAGCTCGTACTGAACAGAAAGCCAGTTTCATTATGTAAGTCACTCTAGCGCCAATTATTTCCTAGTTCTTCCAGCGCATGAAATAACTAACAATGGGGTAAAACACATTAGGGGCATGAACTGGGAACAAGTTCTGTGCATACGTCAGGCTGGAAATAAGCTGATGGCTTTGTTTCAGTTTGTTCTTTTGATTTCGGATTTCTTGAAGTTGACAGTGCTCCCATTAGTCATTCAGGAATCATGAAATCTGGAGACAAACCCAGAGCAGCAACAAAGAGCTTGCTGAAACAGCTAATGCAGTAACTCAGTGCTTCTCAGCTGGAAAACTGACTTTCCCCTTACTCCCATTTTTCATTCTACCAAATATTAAGACACTTCCTTCTCCATCAAAGGGAGTGACAACATTCAAACAAACCTTGATCAATAGGTCTTTCAGCCCTCGTATAGATTGCACCGATCACAACAAAAATGCCTTCCATTTTTCTCGTATCCTGGCCTTCCTTCTCCATATCTTTTCATAATAAAATGTAACCCTCTCTTTGGAGGTCAGCTGAGTGGTCATTTCAGTTCCCGTGGGTACCACTCAGCGACAGCTGGAGTCCATCGATTGTCAGTGAGCCTCACTCACTGACACATGCCCAGCCCATCACATTTTACTATGCCTGCTCTCAACACCGACGTCCTTCACTCCACTCTGCTGTCTGGTCACTTCACTGGGGACTCAGTCACAGATTGAAATTCCCAGAATTCTTCTGTCCATCGCCCTCTCCATGACAGACAATTGCCGCTCCTCTGTCTTCATCAGCGCTCATGTTGTGCTGCCGTACAACATTGCCGGCAGTACTGTTGAGATGAAGAGGTTGGCACATATTGCCTTGTTGATTTTTCCTTGGAGGACATCCTCGATAGATGTGAATGCACACCAAGCTGCTTTCTTTCTTTGTGAGAGTTCACCTTCCTGATTGTGATGCATGTTAATTTCTTGGCCCAAATAGACATATTGCTCAACTTCTTCTGTTTGTTCTCCCTTGATTGTTATTTGGGCCTTTGACAAGGTATCAGACTGCATACATTTCATTTTGGAGCGGTAAATATTCAGTCCGACATGGCTGCTTTTTGTGTTGAGTTCTTGCAGCATTTTCTGTAGTTTGAAAGTATTTTCGGTGATCAACATCAATATCCTAAAATTGTGAGGAACCAAAGTAATTCCTTCACTGAACAAGGCTGGCATCGGAGGCTCACACTGCAGCTGCTGCAGGACCCACTAGAGCTTTTCCAGTTCACACTGCTACCTGGATTACCATGGGGATTGCTGTGTGTGCAAAGGGGATGTGCTGTGTTGGGAGCAGGTTTGCTGACTGGCTCCCAGGGGTAAGGAAGGCTGACTTATTTTAATGAGGTCACTGGTCCACTTAGAGGGAGATGAAAGCTTCCGAAAGATCCAGAACAATTAGCGAAGGTGAGTTTGGATGAAGGAATACAATGGCAGGGAAGAGGCAGGGAAAGCATTGGTTCTCCTTCCCCCCGAGTCCAGTTCTTTGATGGCTACGTTAAGGGTCAGTGGAGAGAGGGATGGGAGTGGGGAAAGGGGCTTATTTTACCAAGGCAGGTCAATTAGACTAAGCTACCAAGACAAGAAAACTGAAAATACACTGTTAATACGGAGATCAAGCCTTTGAATGGGTGACAATCCCCCTTTGTCCCCTAGAAAACAATCTACTAGACTTAAGGGGGGGCGAGGAGTTAAACTGCATATTTTGGTTTAGTTTTTTATTAAATTCAAGAGGACAAATTCCTCTGAGATAACAAGAAAACAGGAACAGGAGCTCCAGGTGGAAATCACAGATGAGATTTGTATTGAGGTTCATAAATACATAGCTGGTTCAAGTTGGCATGAATTTCAATACAAAATAATCAGTCAGTTGTTTCCCATACTCCAACCACACAAAACAGGAGAAGTGGCTAGAAAGGAATACATTTATGTCTGCTTTGTTTGTATCAAAATTTAATCTTTTATGGACCCAATTTCACCCAATATTAGAAAATAATTTCATCAAACAAATATATCTTCACCCTCCTTTTTAATTTAGTCCCAAGTCAGCAGCTAAGAAAAAATTTCTAAGAAACCAAAGTAATTCCCTCTCATGGAAGCTCAGGCTTGTGATAAATTTACTATCACGTGAGGCTAAAGGAATTAGTGCCAGGTTCTGCAACCATTGCTCATCTTGAATAGTAACTTTCTGCTTAAATAACCCCACTGGTAGTAGAGTGTATGGGGGAAGACTAAGAGTATTGGCAAATTAAGGTCTCAATTCAAAAACATGTAAGCACATGACTATCCAATTAACTACATTTGCCACATGCTTAAATGTAGGTACCTATGTTTCCAGGAATTGGACTTAAAGTACTACCCAAGATGAGCAATAGTAATCCAATCTGGCTCTTAGTTTCATAAATAAAAAAAATATTTTTATTAAGTGCCTCACAAAGTGGAGAGGATAATCAACGAATTTGTGACAACAGCCTGCATCACCCTGGAATGTGCACACCGGACTCTCATCAACATTAAGGGAGACTGGTGTACATATCCAAGGGAAAAGTTTAGTAACAGAAGATATGCATCTACAAAGACTTTTGTTTATAATCTGCACTACAAATTGAATTGATAATGAGCCAACTGCCTATTTAGATATTTGCAGCAGATGAAGTGAGCTGTAGCTCACGAAAGCTTAGGCTCAAATAAATTTGTTAGTCTCTAAGGTGCCACAAGTCCTCCTTTTTTTTTTGCAGATACAGACTAACACGGCTGCTACTCTGAAACCTTTAACTTATGTTACAGCATTCAAACCCTTGCACAACAAAAAAGTAACTGCTAGCATGTACAGTCTGATCAGCCAAGAAGAATTCTAACATATAGGGTGTTTGGATGTTGATGTTGCTTATACTGAGATTTTATGAACATAATAAAAACTTTAATTAATCCTTTACAAACAATAACCTTCATAATGTTCCATTATGGTCAGACGCTATCTTATTTTGAGGATGGCAAGAAAAAAGCAGCAAGGTGCTTAGCACCGCAGAGTATGACATTTATAACTCAATTTCTTCCAACCCACCAGAGTATTATACCACCCCACGCTGACTAACCAAATGGGATCAGCAACCCTCTTCCAGTATTCATTGAAGAACAAGACTGCATGTATAGTATGAAGCTATGATTCGCATATGTGCTCTTCAAGTTTAGAACGAAAGAAGTCCACCTATCTGCTAGGATGCATTGCTTTGAAGAGAGAATCTTAAAAAAAACAACAACAGTTTACTCATATGGAGGTTTATTTTGGGGTTTTTTGGTTTTTTTTTTTTTTTTTTTGGTTCTCTTTGATGGAAAAGGACAGCAAGTACCTATTTTCCACAACAGAAAATAAAAAAAAAGGCTGCTGTTATCCCCGCTCTGGACACCAGATGGTATTACAAAGTATGAAACAAATGCCAAGGCATTCCCACCTCTTTCTTTGAATCCAGGCTTAATGCCAGCAGAATAGAATTGAAAGCCAACCAGATAATTGCATTTTCAAAGATGTAGAAGGCAGCATATTCAGGACAAGGGTACATACAGCTGCCATAGATCAAACAAGATAGGTAGGGTGACCATATGTGACAAAAAAAGTGAGCATTTGTCCTGTTGCTTGGATCAAGTTTGCAAGAGCAAATGGGACAAATACTCATTTTTGCAAAAAAAAAAAAAAAAAACCCAACAGCAACAAAAAAAAAACAAAAAAAACCGTCAGGACGGCCAGGACAGGGCTTAAAAAAGGGACTGTCCCAGCCAAAACCAGGATGTATGGTCACCCTAAAGATAGACAGCTTTGTAGTATGAAAATCAGAGATGGAGTCACGCAGAACCTCGAATGCAGGACGCACATTTCAGGGAAGTTGAGACCTGAATGTTTCAGTCTGGATGCATGAATAAGGTGACACCTAGGCCTGGACATATGTATTATAAGTAGAGGAAGTTACTCTGCACTCTCTAGAACAGTGGTGGGCAACCTGCAGCCCGCCAGGGTAATCCACTGGCGGGC